GAAAGTTTACTTGAGGCTCACTGTTTCAGAGTCTATGATGGCTAACTTCATATCTTTTACGGGGAGGTGGGTACTGGGGGTTGAACTCAAGGGCACCCAACCACTGAGCCACACCCCAGCCCTATTTTGTGTTTTATTTGGACCTACCACAAGGCAGAATATCATGGATGAAGGCAGAGGAGATAAAAGCTATTCAACTCATGGCAGTCAGGAACCAGGGGAGGGAGGTGGAGAGAAAGAGGGAGGAAGAGAGAAAGGGGGAGAGATGGGGGCTATGGGAAGGAGGGAGTGAGTGGGAGGGAGGGACCACAGACCACAGGGAAAATGAACTATTCCAGGGCATGCCCACCTCCTCCAGCCACACCTCACCTGACTACGGTTACTTCCCAGTTAGTCAGTTCAAATTAGGATGGATTAGTTACAGTTTTCACAATCTGATAAATTTACCCCTGAACATTCTTCTGTTATCACAGGAGCATTTGGGGAACACATCATATTCAAATCATGACACTAACCTAGAAAGTAGTTGTATTAAAGAGACTACCTTGTTCAGGAAACAGTTTGGATGTTCATTGTGCTGAAATCAAAGAGGTCAGTGTTAGAGGATTAGTAATATTGTTTGAAAATGAGTTCCATTCCAGGTTCCTGGGCTTAAACTCCTTTGGGTATGTCATTAAATTAATATTTCTGGTTTTAACATAGATAGAGATACTATAATGGATCTTTTTCACTCCATCTTTATCCATAGTCAGATTTTTTTTGTGTGTGTGATTCTATAGGTAATGTGTGTGTTTTGCAAATTGGGTACATGCTTTACTGATTATTCTATTATGACTACTTCATACTTATATGCAGACACCTAAAGTAAAACACTAAAGCATCCTTAGACAACGTAACATGATGGTTCAAGCCATGTGTTCTGTATAACCTGTAGTATTAAATACTTATTGGTAAAAACACTGCTGTTCTCATAGCAATTGAGATTAGATTTATGAGAATGTTTCCAGTGAAGTATTATCTAGATGGAAACAGCTATTCTGTGGTATATTTTGTGGAAATGAGTTTGATAATACATCAGTAAGGTTTCTATAGTTAGAAATTGGAATTCTCATCAAGGAGGTTAACCTTTGTAATGGTTATATTTCATCATTGTGTTGCCAAAAACTGTATTAAGTGTGAGGGTAAAACTAATCCTTTCAATGATGAGGTAGGTATGTGAATATGTAATTATTAATAGCTCTAACTATGAAATTTCCTTTGAGGTATATTATAGCATGGGGATTTTTCTGAAAAAATAAATAGCACTGTCGCTTAGTCCTTTTGAATTTAAAAATTATTTTATACTCATTGAGAGAGAAAGTATTGCTAGAGGCTTGCAAATTAAAATCATTCAATATGTAAGTATAGATGAAGATGATTTAAAATTTTATTTCATTAAAAGAAGGACTCAAGGGCTAGGGATATAGCTCAGTTGGTAGAGTACTTGCCTTGTGTGCATAAGGCCCTGGGTTCAATCCCCAGCACTGGGGGGTGGGGGGCGGGGATAAAAAAGAAGGACTCATTCTAAAGATCCTTTATTTGTTTAGACACTCAAAATATTTAAAATTTATTTAAATGAAATCTTCTGGAATTTCATATTTGCCTATTCTAAGCACACCTGCCATGAAGGTGAATCCCACCTAATTTCCAACCATATTCATTTCATTTGGTAGCTAATGAAATCATTAAATGACCCAGTTTCTCTGTAAAATTATACAATGCCGTGTCCTCTCTTTAATTCTTTATGTATCTTTTACTATGTACTTAATACTGAATTGGTGATCACCAATTCAGTATTAAGTACATACATAAAGTCATCTTTACAGATGACTATAGAATTAAAATTCTTAAACAGTAATTAATTTATTACTTTTGAGCAATTATTCTTTTGCAATCTCGAGAATCTTTTCCTGATGACTCTTATTTTGGGTATATTTTGTCTTCAGAGAACAACCAAGGAGAGAAAGTTCTAATAAAGTCCAAAGTTCTAAAGAGATAACAGGTGAAAATGAAGACTATGCCTTATGTAGGAAAATGGATGCCTTTTCTATTTTAATATGAAGGAAGAAAAGAAAGACTAGGAATACATATAGATATATTTATAAGAAATTGCAGTTGAAGGAGTTCACATTAATTTTGTCCCCTCCCCCATTGTAGAAGAGGTTAATTTCTTTCTGTTCTCCACCCCCATTGTGGAAGAGGTGATGGTAGAAGAAGAAATTTGAAGACAGAGGTAGAAGGTTTAGGGGAGCTGTTAGGCAAAACAAGAGTGAGAAGAAAACTCAAAATAATGACCAGGGAATTAGAGAAATTGGTTGAAAAAAGAGTACCAGAAGTGTGGTATTAGCATTTTCTTCATCTCTCTTTCCTGCTTTAAGTGCAGAGGAAGAAGAATGGATGGACTGACATCCAAGATTTTGCCAGTTAAGCATGGCCAAAGGATGCTGGGACAGTGTTCAACTCTATTGGCAAGAGAGAATTGAAGTAATAGATAAGGGACATTAACTTGGTTAGGGAAAGAACTTCTTTTGCATAAGTAAAGGTATAACAATTTTTGGAGATGATGGAGTAGTCTGTGTAGATAGAATTTGAGATACAGGAGAGGGAAGAGCCAGAGATTTAAACAAACAAACAAAAAAAACCCAACCTCTGAGGTTCTTTAAAAATTGACAATGCCTGTGTTCCAAATTTCTTGCTAAGTTGGTTTATAGTACATCTTAGACAATGGAGTTATGTTTTACAGAGTTGAAAACCATTGCTTAGAAATATTCTTAAGCAAACTGGGTTTGGTTTGGTTTCGTTTTTGCAAAGTAGGTTGTCATTTTCTCTTTAAGGCAATAGAATCAGCAAAGATTTTAAAGAAGGGAACAGTATAAGTCTTTACATAATTAAAATATGGTTTTTCCTCAGAGTTATTGACAGATAACAAAAGAGGACAGTTAGGCAAATAGGAGATTCACAGAGAGAACACTGCATCCTTCTGAGCTAGGAATGATCAGATCTTAAAGGAGGGACTGACAAAGAAATTATAGAGTATGTATTTGTGAGCTTTAGTATTTATTTTACTACATGTACTAATATATGTGTAGAATTATAAAACAGGGTATAAGGAAACAAGAAAATATGATATTTTTATTTTGATAATTTCTTAGATTTTAATGGGACCAGACTGCAGCTCAAAATAGTCTTTATTATCTCAGTTTCCATGTGTCAGGAATCCAGGGATGGTTTTCTCTAGATCCTCAGCTTAGGGGTCTTACTGAACTATCAAGGTGTGGGCCAAGGATGAGGACTCATTAGAGTCTGGATTAGGGAAAACTCCCCATTTAAACTCTCAGGTTTTGGCCAAATTCATCTTCATACACACATAGGACTGTTTTGTTTGTTTATTTTTGCTGACTGACAGCCAAGGGCTACCCTCAGGATCTATAGGCTGCTTGGAGTTCGCTGCCATGTCACTCCATTGGCATGTTATAGCATGGCTGTTTGCAGGCCAAAAAAAGAGAATCTGTCTACAAAAAGGGTACTTTCCCTCTTTTATTTCACCTGATTAACTCAAACACACTCAAGATATTCTCCCTTTTGATTAACTCAAACTAATTAACGAATTTGGCACATTAATATATTTCCCTTAAAAATTATCAGTACATAATAATTATGCAGAATAATATATTTCATTGTGACATATCCATACATAAACGTAATATAATTTGTTCAGTTTAAGTCCCCAGTACTTCCCCATTCCCCTCCCTCCTCTCTCACCCTGGTCCCCCATATATTTTTATGGGATCCATTTTTTAATTTTTTTTTTTTTATTTCTGGCTTCCTCATATGAGAGAAAATGTACAACCTTGATTTTCTGAGTCTGACACCATTTAACAAGATATTGTGCTCCATCCATTTTCCTACAAATTACATAATTTCATTCTTTATGGCTGAATAAAATTCCATTGTATATGTACATGTTTTCTTTACTCATTTATCTGTTGACAGATGCCTAAGCTGGTTCCATAACTTGGCTATTGTGAATTAATGCTGCTACAAACATGGGTGTGCGTTTTTCTGTGTAGTATTGTGAATTTAGTTATATTGGGTAAATGCCTAGTGGTGGCAATAGTTCAAAGAGATGAAGAATACAAGAGAATTATAATGTTTTTGAAGGACATTAATGATATCCATTTTAGACATGGAGCAAATTGGGCATCAATAATAGTGACTTCATAAATGGTATACAACTCAGTAGAGAAATCAGGATTAGAGACATTTACTTGGTAGCAATCAGTAGAGGTGAGCATTAAAACAAGGAGATCATCCAGAGAAAGATTATAGCAAGAGGTAATCCAAATAGTGGAGGAAGAACAAGTAAAACTGGAACTTCTGTAGCTATACTGTAGTCCATATGTCTTGATTCCAGTGCAATATCCTATTATACTTTTTTTTTTTTACTTTCCTTTTACTTTCTTCTTTCAGTAATATCCTGCCTTTCTTAATTTGTGGTCTGTTCTCTGTTCTTGTTCTACTTTCAAGTCACACTGCCTGGAAGGAGAATCAACACCTATATTAGTGAAAGCCTTGGTGGTCACAGACAGAAGAAAGATTGACTCTATTATACTTCCTGTTCCAGAGGGTGACTTTCAGGATTGTAGGATGGAGAACTCAAGGCCCAATAAGAGAAGATGGCCCATGAACTGCTTCATACTTTATCAGAAACCAAAAATAAACGTACTTTTTCCTGTCTCTTCCATCTCAGATTGTCTATGAAAAAAACAGAATAGCACACATTTGAATGCACATGTAATCACATTGATTTATCTCTTAAAACTTTGGTATGTTTATCTAAGTACAAGACTGAAGCCACTGTAGAAATATTGTTAAAAAAAATTCTGAGCTCTAATAGGAAATAGAATTTGATAAGAACATTTTAATCCGACTTTCCTCCCTCGTCTTAATTCTTCTTTCAGGTTATATTCAAGAAGAATGTGTCATCCCCTGCCCGTTTGATTGCAAGTTAAGTGATTGGTCTAGCTGGGGTTCTTGCAGTTCATCTTGTGGGATTGGAGTGAGAATTAGATCCAAATGGCTAAAGGAAAAACCTTACAATGGAGGTCGACCATGTCCCAAACTGGATCTCAAGAATCAGGTAAAGTGCATGGAACAACAACTACAAAGCTAAAAACTCTCCTCATTGCTAATTCCTGTTGAAATTGAAGTTGTCCTCTTACCGCAGGTAGCTTGCTGAGCTTGGAAGAAAGATGAGAAGGGCATAAATTAAGATAATAGAACCAGTAATAGAAGCTTTGCCAGCTCAGAGGTAACATCAAGACCAACTTGATTTTCTTAGCAGTAGTAGGGTTTACAGAATTAAATGCAATTTTTTAAAATCTTGAAATGTCATTTGATATTTAAAAGTTCATACACACACACACACACACACGCTCCCTACATATGTATGCATGATTTGGGGGTGTATGTATATATTTGTTTATATTATAAAATGTTGGAAGAATATCTATTACTATATGCAGTATAATTAGTGGCCTTATCTGTCAGTTCCAAAAGTGGTATTTTTTTTCCCCTTACCTAACTCTTTATCCTAATTTTCTTCATTCTCAATCTTATCTGTTTGATAGCTCTCCAAATCTTTTTTGGCTATTTCTCCACCTTTTTTCCCCAAAGTCATGCCTATTTCCAAATGAAATCCTGATGGATGCCTTCCCATATGGATGTCTAATAAAGTTACCATCTTAAGCCATCAAAATTGCTTAGAATATTTCAGTCTGCTTTACTAATGTCACAACAGTATAAGATTTAGTTAAGAACTATAGTAAGAACTTAAATTTCACCTATGGTTGTATACAAATTATTAGCTTATGAGTGATATTTCAGTTTTAATTTTTTAATGATTCGAGTAGGTGGAACACAAGGCAATGTTAGTTAAAACTCCTTTATTCTGAGAGAGGTGAAGTTTGTCTCATGTGGGGGTAGATACTTTGTGAGTAGGAAACTCTTAATAGAATAGCTACTTAAGCTTCTATCACTAATTCTATTATATTAATTTCTTTCCTTTAAACCCCATTCTGATCAGATGCTCTACAGATTTCTAAGGGTAGAAAAATTCCATATGTCTGTTCTTATTGATTTATTTATTTTTGGTACTGGGGATTGAACCCAGGGATGTATAACAACTGAGCCATATCCCAAGCCCTTTTAATATTTTATTTAGACACAGGGTCTTGCTGAGTTTCTTAGGGCCTTGCTAAGTTGCTGAAGCTATCTTTGAACTGGTGAGCTTCCTGCGCCAGCCTCCTGATCCACTGAGATTACAGGCATGTGTCACCATGCCCAGCAATATGTCTGTTCTTGATTAATTTGAGTAGCATATGTAGTACTACTTGGACTTAAATATCCCATGTTATTTCAAGACGAGTATTGCTAGCTATTTTTCTCAAGTTTTTGTATAAGATGTATAATTCACTGAAATGAAAAATTATCCTAGTGAGAAATATTTAAATTCTATTACAGAGACTAGTTAGTATTCCAGTCTTGTTTTTTAAGGTTATGTGTTAAAATAATGACCATAGTTTCTTCCCTCAAAGAGGATGTAAATCTTTTGAGGACAGTAGAACAGAGGTTCTTAAGAGCAGAGGTCTTCTGTGGAGTTAAGCCTTACAGAGAAAGGAAGCATGCAGGTTTCTGGTCAGGAAGATAGATTTTGAGAATATTCTGCAAGAAAATGATTTCATCATTCTTAGGGATTTTACAGGCATTTAAAAGAACTACTAAGCATTTTTATGTATAATAACTAATGACAATTCTTATCATATCTTCTTCACAACCATCAATGAAATCCTAGCCTTTATAATGCTAGTGTTTAACACTTATTTTAATATTCTAATTTTATAAATGAGAAAATTATCGAAGGGATAAAAGACTTCATTGAAACACAGACATTATGACTATATTCTCAGTGTTGGAATGCAATTGAATAGAAGAATGTGTATAAAAATTGAGAATATGAAGAAGTTAATGGTACTTGTATGCCTGTTATGACTTAAAGAAAACTTGTTCCAGGCACTTAATTGACACATAACACACCTTTGAGAAGCAGTACAAGCTAGAAATGAAATCCAGTTTCAAGATTAGTTAGATAAATATAATAACTGAAAATTAAGTGAAAGTAGGCCCGTCTGCAGAAGATGTTTCTATTGTTTGATTTTTTATTGTTGGCTGTTCAAAACATTACATAGTTCTTGATATATCATATTTCACACTTTGCGTTTGAGTTCAAGAAGGCAATTGTAGCCTTTCAAACACATTTGTTTTGTTATGATGCTTAGATATGAATCCTGGGTTTTAATAATCACAAATAGAATTTAGTATGGCATTTATTCTAATATAAAAGGTTTCAGATATCTGGCATGTGTATGGCCTAATTAAAGTTGAATAATTAAAGGCACCCCACTCCATACTTTATATATTTTTAATATTAATTTTATTATAAATTGACAAATTGTAGTTGTATATATTTCTAGTGTACAAAATGAATACAATCAGAAACAATTCAGTCCATATAGTCAACATACATATTCATCACTTCAAATGCTTATCATTTTTTATGGTGAGAACTTTCTTAGCAATTTTGAAATGTAAAATACATTTTAGTAACTGTATTTGTCATTCCATGTAATAGATTTCTTTAAAAAAACACACACCTATTTCTTGCTAATTGATGGTGAATTGATGTTTCATACTCTCTGACCATCATCTCTCTATTACCTCACCTCCCATCACCTGGTAACCATCATTCTCCTCTCTCTGAGTTCAAAGGTATTGATACCACTCATGATAATATGTGGTGTTTTCCTTCTGTGCCAGGCTTATTTCACTTTACATAATATTCTGTAGTTCCATTCATCTTGTCATAAATGACTAAATTTGTATTTTTTCTCAAGGCCATATAGTATTCCACTATATGTTTGGACTACATTTTCTTTGTTCATTTATCTGTTGTTGAACACTTAGGTTGATTATCAGGCTTGGCTGTTGTAAATAATGCTGTGTTGAGCATGGTAGTACAGTTGTCCTTCAACATACTAATTTCAGATCTTTGGGGTAAATTACCCAGATCTGGGATTTTTGGCACATAGGGTAATTCCATTTTCAGTTTTTTGAGAACATCCCATACTGTTTTCCATAATAGCTGTTGTACTTTATATTCCCATGAAAATGTACAAGGATTCCCTGTTTTCCATACATACTTTATATTAGGACAATAGGTAATAAATCCTCTCTCTCACAATGAGTCTGTGAATGTCAAGGGAAAACAATATTAAGAAAAATCCTAAAATTAAAAGAATTATTTTTTATTTTTTATTTTTTTTAGAACCGATTGCTTCTCTAAAGCAAGCACACTTATTCCTGTAAGCTTGTCTGTGGAAAAATATTTGTGGGGACTTTGTTGTATATCTGCCCTTCTATATAGTAAACTCTTTTTTTATGCATGTCATGTATGTTATACTATATTATATAATTTTATTTGGACTTCTTTGTGTTTATGTGTGTGTTTTGCTGATCAAACCCAGGGCCTCATGTATGCCAAGAAAACACTCCACAACTGAGCCACATCCCCAGCCCTGAAGTAATTCCTATTTCCTTAATCCTTCTGACAATAACTTGGGTTGTCAGGGATTTTTATTATTTAGAAAATACTGCCCAGCTTCTATTATGAATGGCACTTCTTTAGAAGAGACTGTGATTGGTTTCTCTGCACCAGAAATCTGGTGAATTAGAGACGTGCTGACTGAGGCTCTTTTGTAAAGTTCAATTTTACTGTTGACTTTAGGTTTATTTCCAATTGCTTTATAAGTTTCAATTTATTTTCCTATTTTTTGAATCAGATTAATCTCCTATTGTCTATCACACATATGTAAGAGCTTTAATAGAGTTATCAAATTGTAACAGTAAGAGAGAAACATAATTTTAGTACCTGGGCATGAGAAAAATACATTATGTGTCAAATTGAGCCTAACATAGTGTTCATAAAAATACTGCATTTGTTTTGTGTGTCTATTTATGTATATACTTATTCTATGAATATTTATCCTTTGATTCTCTTTAAAAAGAGGTCTTTTTGAGGACAAGAGTGGTTTTTCTGTTTTTGTAACTCAATCCATCCCCTAGTGCACTCTCTTGTGGGTTGTCATCTTATATTCATTGGATGCCTAATTTGAAAAATAGCCTTTTCTTAGATGACTGGGTGTCTAGCTTCATAGAAACCAACAAATGCATTAAGATGCTGATATCTTATGCTGTGATTTGTCATTTGAATTCTTAAAAGCATGAGCTCTTCCAGGAGAAGAAATAAGAACCTCCAAATTATTATTGCCCAAAGAGAGTCTTTTAAGATTTTCTTGAAAAATCAGTGTTTAGATCCCCATTGAAATCTAACACAATGATATAAATGGAAAGGTCGGTATTATGTACACAAGCTCATAAGCTGTTCCGAATCTGTGAGTGAAATCAATATTTATAATCCCTCATAAAAGCCTCTCTTTTAAGCCAACACCTATCATCCTGATAGCTCTTTCTCTGGAAGTGCCTAAGTGACAGCCATCCTTGAGTAGCTTTCTGCTAAACATATTTGTGATGCTAAATAGTTTGAATATGCAGCTTGTCCAAAGCTCTTATCTAGGCATAAATGTCTTCTCTGTAGGTTATTGGATTATCAGGTCAGTTGGCTGATGCCCTTGACTCTTCTTGCATAATAAAAAACATAATGTGTTTTAATTTTACAGTCTATAATGTGTTGAGTGGATTTAAGCATACTTGTACTGTGTACTTTTTGCTTTGAAATGCTGCCATCGGAAGATGAAATATGAGCATGTTAAAGCTCAATTGGGCTTACATTTTCCTTTATTAGATCATCATACAATTGAAGCCAAGGGAATTTTAGAAAACTATGTTTTGTTTATAAGTTGTAAGGCATTGATATTTACAATTTGAATAAAAATCTTGTATGGAGGTTTATTTCCTGTACTTTTTAAAGATACATTCTACTTCAGTACATTCTTGAAAGATCTTTTATGTTTGCAACTTATTGAGAAAATATAAATTAAATGTATGTGTTTTCTAGAAACAATT